AAAGCCTGGACAAAAGAGCAGTCAGCCCCAGGCTTACAGGTGAGGAGAGACAACTCAGGGACGCACAAAGCAGCAGGCAGGAAGAGCAGGAGAAAGGGGATTAAAAGCCAGGAAGCCAGAGAGAAGAGCAATCAGCCGAAGGGATTAGGTGAGGAAAGGAAACTCAGGCCCGCCCAAAGCAGCAGGACAGGAAAACAAGAGAAAGGGGATAAAAGCCAGGAAGCCAGACAGAGGAGCAGTCAGACACAGGGACCCAGGTGGGGGTGATACGAGAGGTCTCCAACAGCAAGACAAACTTGTCTTGCCTCATCTACCTAATGGACATGTCCAGTTAGGACCAGGTTCAGCTAATAATAGAAAAACCTGAAATAATAGCGGCTTACACAACATAGAAGTTTATTTCTCTCAAATAACAGTCTTAAACTAGGTAACACAGGCCGGTATGAAAGCTCTGCTCCACCAATTTCTCTGAGACTTGGGTTCCTTCCTGATTTCCATTCCACTCTGCCTAGGATGTGGAGCTCCAGCCAACACAACCACATTCCTAGTAGCAGGAAAGAAAAAGGAAGAGAAGGACACACTCATCTCTCTTTAAAGAAACTTCCCAAAGCACACTAGCACACACAAGTAGAACACATTACCTCTGCTTTGATCCCATTGGCCAGGACTTAGTTACATGGCCATACCTAACTCTTAGGAAGGAGCTCTGTTGGTGGTGTGCCTAAGGCATTTGACTGCTAACCAGAAGGCTGGTGGAAAGCTAGGAAACTCTTAGGAAAGCTACAATGCAGTCTTTATACTAGGCAGTCTAGCAGTATCACTAAGAAAGGAAGAATAGATAGTGGAGGACAAACAGCATTCTCAGCCACACACTTCAAACTCAGCCCATCCCAAATGAACCCATCAGTTTCCAGGATAAACTGCACAATTTTACACCTTTGTAATGTGTCCACCCTACCTTTATCTCTATTCTCAGCAAATTCAATCTCCTCTTAATACACACACCTTACATCTTTTTGTGAAGCTTTCCTTTACCCAACAGCCTCTTCCTTCAGCCCAAACAGATTGTATGTCTGTGGGCTCCCTGGATGTCTAGCAAACATCTCTATCTTTGCATTGCTAATTCTGTACTGTATTTTTTGTTTCACAAGTCTACTCATCCCTCTCCCACTAGATAGTAAAGCTCTTGAGGGCAGAGACAATGCCTTATTTGTCTTATGCACATAGATCTATGACATACCAAGTTTTACAAAATCATCTATTAGTACCTGCTTCCTAGAATTTAGGGCCAGCAGGGCACCAAGAAGTACCTACTATATGTAACATCCAACTTTTTTTTAGAAATATCTTGAGATATGGGCAATGAAATGCCATGTGTAATTTTAAATTGAATTATCAACTATAAAGGAGCTCTGGTGGCATAGTAGTTAAAGCATTTGGCTGCTAATCAAAAGGCTGGCAGTTCAAACCCACCAGCCACTCTGCAGGAGAAAGATAAGGCAGTCTGCTTCGATTTACAGTCTTGGAAACCCTATGGGACAGTTCTACTCTGTCCTAGAGGGCTTCTATGAGTCTGAATCGACTAGATGGCATTGGTTTTGGTTTCTTTGGTTTTATCAACTGTAAGGCAGCTAATTCCCAAAAATGCTTGTATCAACAAGGTTTCTATGATCCAAATGTGACTTTTACCTTGCTAATTAGTCTCCAAGGAGCTCTGGTAGCACAGTGCCGAAGCCATTTGAACCTACCAGCTACCCTGCAGAAGGAAGATGGGGCAATCTACTTTACTTAAAGATTTACTGCCTTGGAAACCCAATGGAAGTTGCTATGAGTCAGAATCGGCTGGATGGCAGTAGGTTTTTTTTTGTTGTTGTTAATTAGTCTCCAGTGGTAACTCAGAGTAGATACTGGGGTTATTGTTGTTGTTATGTCCGCTGAGTCAGACCTGACTCATAGCGACCCCTCCTTGGGTTTCTGAGGCAGTATCACTATGGAAGTAGATTGTCCAACCTTCCCTCTGAGGAGTGGCTGGTGGGTTTGAACCGCCAGCCTTCTGGTTAGCAGTCAAGTGCCTTAGGCACTACACCACCAGAGCTCCTACGATACTGGGATAGTTCTCAAGAATTCTAATCCTACTTCCGTAGTGATACTGCCTCGGAAACCCAAGGAGGGGTCACTATGAGTCTGGGCCGACTTGACGGCACATAACAACAACAACAACAACAACCTTCCTTTTGCCCTGTTCTCTAGCCTGGGTAGTATTCTTGCTGTCTTGCCTGCTGTTCCACTTGGGCATGAAGTCTTAAGACCATCAATCCTAACCACCATGCCACCAACAGCAGTTAAATGTAACTTCAATAATAAAAGACTGTATAGTTACTTATTGTCTTACCATTAGCTCCTGGTGGTTGTAATACATCTCCTGTCAGGTGACACCATCCAACTGGGAAAATATCTCGAGAATCATACTTGCACCAATAATCAAAAGCTCCACTCCAGCCATCAAATGTGATATAAACTTCATCTCCTTTCACATCTCCAATAGTTGCAGGGCAGATCAGGTAAGGGTTTTTTCTGTCTATTGCTTCAAGTTTCATTCCCACTTCAAAATTATTTAGGGCTGGCCTTGGTGGTTCCTACCAAAATGTTAAAAAAGATTTGTTTCATTATTAAGATATGTATACTAAGAACTATTTGCTCAATTGTATTCTCTTACAACCTTTAGTGACCAGAACCTGAACTCCATGTTTAATTAAGAATTAATACAGAAAGAAACAGTTCCTATAGATCTCTCTAAAACTCTGCCCTCCAAACCCACTTTTACTCTGGAGCAGAGCCAAGAATCTGGAAGGAAACAAAACCATCTTGATAGTAATTCATTGAAGAAATAATATTTTTAACTATGTGCCAGAAATTTAGATTCATTGGCGAACAAAATTATCAAAGATCCCTTCTCTCATGGAGTTTCCATTCCACTGCTGGTGGTGGTAGCAGTGGTAAGGTAGGGGGAGCAATTAACAATACAGGTAGGCCATAGTTATGAACGAGATCCATTCCTGGGTACTTGAGTTTTTCAATGGAATTTCTATGTGAGGCGGAGCAAGTGCATATGGTTCTTACTTAGTTTTACTTTAGTGCAAAAAAAAAAAAAGGAGTTCTGGTGGCGCTGTGTTTAAAGCATCAGGCTGCTAACCAAAAGGTCCCAGGTTCAAACCCACCAGCTGCTCCATGGGACAAAGATGAGGCAGTCGGCTTCCCTCAAGATTTATAGCCTTGAAACCCTATGAGGCAGTTCTACCCTGTCCTATGGGTGGCGATGAGTCGGGGTCACTATGAGTTAGAATTGAATCTATGGCAGTGGGTTTGGTTTTTGGGTTTAGTGCAAGAAAAGGCTCGAAGACTTTTCAAAGATTTAATAAAACTACATGCAGCAAATGAAGGTGATTGTGATGAAGAATTTTTTCAAGTAGGGATTGCTACAATTGTTTCAAAATTAGGGAAAATTTACATAAATTACAAGGCATGCAGGAGTTGTGTGTAAATCAGATGTTCATAAGGTAACTCAGGGACTGCCTGTACACTTTAGAAGAGGGAGTCAGATGAACATAATAAATATATAAATAATAAGATCTATTGAAAGGTGATTATAGATCCAAAGTAAAGGAACAATAGCAAGTAATATTCAAAAAGAAACTCAAAGTATAAAATGCAGAAGCAAGACCATGAGTCTGGGGTCATTTATGACAGCCAATCCAGAAACTAATAAAAAAATTCTTTTTTAGTTACAAAAAGCTAAAGCATATAAATGCCAACAGGAATCTTAGAAATCCCAGGTACTATGTTAAAAGCCATCTTTTCTTTCAATCTGCTTTTTATCCTAGTAAATGGAACCATCAGCAACAAAGTCATCTAAGCCAGAAGCCTAGGAAATAGTCCTAGACCAAAGGTTCTAAACCCTCCTGCCCATTAGAATTACTTGGGGCCACACCCCACAGCTACTGATTGTATAGGTCTGGGGTGGGGCCAAGACATCAGCTTGTTTCATTCCCCAGGTGATTCCAACGTGCTTACAAGGCTGAGAACCACTGTTCAAGGCTCATCCTATTCACTTACTGCTGCCCGTGTTCAAACAAAATTTAGTCTGCCAATTCTAGCACCCTAGTCTCGGAACCCAAGGAGGGGTCGCTATGAGTCGGGTTTGACTCGATGGCACATAACAACAACAACAACAACCGTCTCCTAGCCAGAAATTTAAGCCACATTCACAAGAGGATGTGTGGCTAAAAGCACAGAATACCAGAAAGATGTTTAATTATGTTTTACTGACTATGCAAAGGCATACAACTGTGTGGATCATTACAAATTATGGATAACGTTGCAAAGGATGGGAATTCCAGAACACTTAATTATGCTCATGGGAAACCTAAACTTAGACCAAGAGGCAGTCTCAAACAGAACAAGGGGATATTGCATGGTTTAAAATCATTAAAGATGTGCATCAGGGTTGCATCCTTTCACCATAGTTATTCACTCTGCATGCAGCCAGGATTGTGAGGACAGCACAGGACTGGACAGTATTTCGTTCTGTTGGAAATGACTTGATGGCAATAAATAACAGATCTCTACAACAGTAACACTGGTAGTTAACCGTCAATTTTTTATTTTGTGCCAAGCAATGTTTTAAATGTTTTGCACATTAATTCTCACAACTGTGTGAGGTCAGCAATTATTACCACCCCCTTCCATTTTACAGATAGGAAAATTGAGGTACAGTTGCCTAAATATACCCCATTAAGTATCAGAGCTGGATCTTAAACCTAGGACATCTGCCTCAGAGCCAACGCATTGGTCATCTTCAATTCATCCTCTTTAAAGCCCATCCAGTTCTCCTGGCCTCTTTGAAGGCTTTCCTGACCAACTCCTGCCCACAATTAGGCCTACCTCAAACAGAGCTGCTTTCACCTTCATTTGTGAAACCACTATTAAAATGTGTTCACTCCTTTGTGATTTTAAGAGATTCTTAAAAGCAGGTACTATATCTTTTTCACATTGTTTGCAGCACAGTACCCAAGAGCAAGGATTTTTTTTAAATGACTGAAATAAGGAATCACCTCAGGAACAGTAAACAATCTCTCAACTAATTCTTTCACCAAGACCTAATTAGAAAAGTGTATCTTTTCTAATTGGTTCCTTTTAAAAATGCTCCTCAGAACCCATCCTTTTGGACCCTTACAATTACTGAGTTAATTACATGTTCCATGTCAGACTTCTCCAGTAGACTGTGGGTGCCAGGAGGACATGTGGTGTTGCTCAGGCTTCAAACCAGTTTAAACTGGTTCAGTCATGGCCAGCGTAGTAAAACTAGAACAGATCCAAATTTATAAAATTTGAATGATCCGGAACACTAACCAGAATGTGAAAAACTACAGGTGGAAGCCCTGTAATGGGAGACACAGAAAAGGTGTAGTGAGTGCTTTTAGAAGCCTGATGCAAGAGACTGGATTACTGCCAGGACTGAGGAGAGCAACACACATTCAAAGTAGCACAGTGTGGTACTTAAGGTTATGTGTCAACTTGACTGCACCTGGTTTTGAGTGACTGGACAGCTGGATATAGTGATTCCCCATGATATAAGACTAGTAATCATCAACCCCACGGTGTAATCTGCTGTGAGCAGCTGAGTAGCTGCCTTAGGGATGGTGTCTGCTTCCAGTATATAAGAAGCAGCTTTGAGAAAGGTCCCTGACCTCTTTGGCAGGCTTTGATCCTGCATGTACCTGAGTCTTCATTCGGCAGCCTGCCATGTGGTCTGCCAATCTTGGGACAGTTTCTGGACTTGAACCAGTGGCCTGCCATGTTGCTTGATCATCTTGGGACTATGCCATTTTACTTGTCAACCTTGGGCTTGTCAGCCTCAGCATTCAGCAGCTGCTTGAGTTAAGAAGCACCTCCAGCTCCAGTGGGCTGGGATCAAGAGGCACAGCTGAAGCCTAAGGTCGAAGGGCTTCACCCAGCCCCTAGAGCTCGCACTTTGAACACAGACTTCTAGCCTTCTAAACTCTAAGAGAATAAATCCCTCTTTGTTAAAGCTACCCATTTGTGGTATATTTCTTTTAGAATGGCACTGGGGGACCAAAATGCATGGTCAGCTGCCATCTTTGAGGTGGGCACCACTGTTTTCAACCCAGCTGGCCAAGAGATTTGGTTTCTATGCAATGCACCCCGGTTTCTAAGAGGGTAATCAAGTTTCTAGCAGGGCTTCAACCTGTAATTTTCCCTGTACTGGTCAGTGTTCCAGTTCAGCCACATTCTAAACATTCGAGTCCGTTCTGGTGTCGCTTCCTCAGCAATGACTGAACCAGGCTGAGCCAGTTTGAAGTCCAGTTCCAAAAAATAAATGAAAGGGTTTTATCTCAAACCAGCTACCTCCAGATTTAGATAACTGCCAAAATGGTTTCCCCTGCTGTCAATGAAAGGTAATGATGTAACAACAAAAAAAATGTCACTGCCATCAAGTCAAACCCAACTCACAGCGAACCCTTTTTGGGTTTCTGAGGAAGTATCACTATGGAAGTAGATTGCCCACCCTTCCTTCTGAGGAGTGGCTGGTGGGTTTGAACGACCAACCTTCTGGTTAGCAGTCAAATGCCTTAGGTACTATGCTACCAGTGCTCCTTAATGATATAAAGCCACTTCTAAACGTTTTTAAAAAATTAGGTTTGTCCCCTATGAACACTCTCATCATCATCAGTTCCTGAATGACTTCCTGAACACAAAGATACAGTATGTAAAAGCTATAGCTAAAATAAACAAGGGAGAATTTCCTTTTCTTAAAATGAAAATGGTTCTAATCTAGAAGGTAACTATTAAAGAATGCTTTTAAACTCCCTCTTTGCCTACCTGCATAGGGTTCTCCTTAAAGACCATTTCTTCTCATTTTCCACCAATCCTGAAGCCAGTCTCAGGATTATCTGTATTGCCCCTCTTCCTGAAATATTCTTACCCTTACAGCCATTCCTAAGTGTATCTTTAAGTCGAATTTGTACGTAGGGCAGAACAGGTGCATACAGTTCTTATTCAGCCTTACTTTAGTGCAAGAAAAGGTTCAAAGCCTTTTCAATGATTTAAAAGGGAAGGTGATTGTGATGAAGAATTTGTTGTGAGTAGGGCTTGGTACAAGGAGCTCTGGTGGTGCTGTGGTAAGGCATTGAGCTACTGGCTAAGAGATCAGTGGTTCAAACACACCAGCCACTCCGTGGGGGAAAAAGATAAGGCAGTTTGCTTCCCTAAAGATTTACAGACTTGCAAACCCTATGGGGGTCAGTATGACTCACATTTGACTTGATGGCAGTGGGTTTTGGCTTTGTTTGGGGTTGGTTCAATAGTTTCAAAATGAAGGCAAATTTACGTAACATTAAAGGACAAGTACCAGTTGTTCATAAGTCAGACGTTTGTCCGGGAACTGCCTGTGTTCTCGCTGGACTAGCTCATTCATGCTCAAGGCTCCATAGCTACTATTTATGCTGAAAATTCCCAAATCCACATGCCCAAGACAAAGCTTGTTCCTAAATTTTAAACCCTTTACTCTCAACATCCTATAATCATCCCTACTCAAATTTCCTAGATGCACCTCAAC